TATGAAATTTAAGGAGCAGCCCCTCCCAATCAGTTGATTTAAAAAAAATGCATATAAACCTATCATGGTCAAGGGTTGTTGGGTTGTTGGGTGCAGGGTTTGTGAGGCACAAAATTTCAGACACTTGTTATAAACATATATTCAGCATGTACAGTCAAACAATTTTGTCCAATATATTAACAACAAAATGTTTAAGCCTAATTTGTCTTTTTTCGTACCAGCTTCTGCATGACTGAGAAACCACCAAAGTTTCCAAAAGGCATTCATAATAATAAGGGAATTTAAATGATTATAATATGAAAATGTAAACATTTCCTTCATAAATGCCATTGTCCTATGAAAGTTAATGAACATAAAAGTGCCATTCAAAAAGACACCATTGGCTAACAACAACAAATTAAGCTATAGCAATTAACAGTTAATTCTTCTCTTTAGGCAACATTTTTTTCCTTGAGGGTGAGCAATGCTTGATTCATCTGCTGTTGTTGCTGTAATATCAACAGTGTTTGGCTTTGTTGATCTTTCCTTAACTGCATCTCTCCCTCTCTCAGAGAATGTTTTTACTTTGCTTTTCTTTTTTACTTTTACTCTTCTTTTCTCTGAGAAATTCTACTGCATCACTGCCACTTCTCCTTTTTTTCTTTTTGGCTCCTTCCTCTCCACCTCTTTTGCTGGTGTTTCTAAACCGTTCCATAGCCTTTATCCGTATTTCTTCTGCTACCTTTTTATCAGCATCAGCTTTCTTCTTTCCATCTTTATCACTGTCAATAGCAGCATATTTTCCAATAAGGTCTTCAAAGATCTTATCAAGTTCTCTAACCTCAGCATCTATTCCAGTTGCTTGGATTTCTTCTGACATCCTTCTTTTATACTTAGTGCGTAACAGTGTCCAACGATCGCGACCTGGCCGTTTTGCAACTTTAAACTTTGGGTAATCCATTGCATTTAAATTACCAGCAATAGAATCCCATACTTGACCCCTCTCTGGAGTGCCCTTCTTGTACTGAAAAAGATCGCTGATTGTCATTTCATCCAGAAGAGCCCTGTCATGCTGCTTTGTCCATTCCATCACTGTTCTAGGTAACATTAAGACAAAAAAAGATTGTTTGTTTTGTTTATTTGTTATTGATGGCTGCACATGCAACAGAGAACAAAAACAGGCTAATTTAAAATTCTGGTGCACTTGTTTGGTTGTCCATGAAACATACAAATTTTACTTTACAACAATAATTGTAAAAGTTCCAATACCAGACATGAAAAGCTATTTTTCAGTTGAACCAGGACAAGAATAAACCCATAGGAACCATTTATGGCTAGATCATTTGCATATTTTTGTGTTGTAAGAATTAAAATTCAGCATTCCTGCATGCGTAATTAGCAATGAAACTACAGCATCTCAGAATTTCGTTAGATTGAAAAATCTTTCAAACTTTTGAATGGAGAAAGTTCCAACAGATGCAGTAATATCGACTTCTTAATTCTTAATTTGACACATAAATTCACTATTTATTACGCATGTATGAATACTGAATTTCGAAATCTGACTAACGAAAGCTAGAAAGTTCGATATATAAATGATCAATCCATTCATGGAGTCTTGAAGAAGAAGAAAAGTTAAGTTTATTGGAGTGGCAAGATTTCTCAACAAAAAATAACTCGCTTTCCAAAGGTTTTTAAAAATGAACCTTACACTGAATTGCATTAAAATAACATTCTCATGAAATTAGCGAGACCAAGCAGTTGTTAACGTGTTTATATGTTTATATTTATAGCTAAACCTTTCAGTATTAGTAGAGAAGTGAACTATCGCAATTCGCTGTAAATTACTGTTTTCCCGCCGAAAATAAAAAGTAATGGTCAAAGAAATGAGTTCAAAGTACACCCTGGCTGAATATTTTTTTACAAATCTACAGACAGATTCAGTTTTTATTCTCACTTACGATTTTGTGCTTGTTGAGTTGGCCATAATATGCGTTTAGCTAGAAAGAAGAGTAAATCACAAGTTAGGACGAATTTAAGGCAAAAAAGAACAGGTAAATCGAGCTAAAAAGTCACCTGTATATTAACAATAAAATCAAAAGTAACATTTCAAAAAATAGTATTTGTTAGAGGTCACAAAAACGACCAAGACAGAAAACTAACACTCACGTTTTCACCACAACGGCAAACACCCGCTCTTCACGTCTCCGACATTCCCGCGACGGCTGAGAAGTTGGCTAAATCATTCGCAGTAATGCACGGATCATGACTTAACTTTCGGTCTAAGTCGCCGTCGCCCCGAAAACGTCCATTGCTTAAGTTCCCTAAAAGTGTTTACGTAACGCGTGATTAAGGCTAAAAAATAATATGTGATGAGTGAATTTTACAGGAAGGCGCGTGTAAATCGAATATACATACATACATACATCCTTTATCGACTTTTCCCGAAGGGGCTTTTCAAGGACAATAACTAACACAAAAATTAAAATAAATAAATAACTTATTAACTTCAATTAATTACAAATACATAGATTGTAGACGCCTCAAGATGTTGAACGAAGAGAAAGTGGCTCCATGTTTTGTGAGACAAACCATTTCTTCAAGTTCGAACGAATCGTTCTTCAGGTTCGAACGAATCGAGTAGAAAACATGAAAATATAGCGCTGAAAAGTACCATGGCCAAACAATGAAATTCACTCCTCCCGCTGCAGGATCAACACCACTTTACCCGTGAGTTTGTTTGCTCCTCACATTTGCGCTCCGTAATTTAATTCTCAGATGTTTGACGAGTTCTCACATGACAATGTTTTCAAAATCAAATTACCGTTTCAGACTTAATGTAAATATGAACGTCGCTGACTCAATCTCATTGTAATTCAATTTTTGGAAACGCTATTACTTCGTTCTTAGGGTAAAACAACAAACATTCGACAAAGCCCAATTTTTTTAAATGAATAATGTAAACCTTGCAACTGAAGAGAGAATGATAAAAACTTGCTCCCACCGTTCGCTATCATTTTAAAACTTTCTAGGCAAAACATAATTCGTAAGATAACTTCTTTCCCCTAAACAACATGACTGTATTAAAGATTCCAAAAGGTAGGACAAGAAATAATTTGAAGAATACGAACACTTTGAAATGTTATTCGAGCGATAAACGAGCGCGAGGGGTTTAAAGCGATGAATGCAAAAGTCATTGTTTTACCGAAACTTGATTGGAATTATAAACTAAAGCTAGTATCAAACGAAGAATAGGAAAAAAGGTTTGAATCTTTCTGGACCTTAGCGTAAGAGAAACCCAGGTAAGACACGACTTACCTCCTCCTCTTTCGTGGATCCTTTGTGGTTCGCTTCTCTTTGTTGATGACCCCTTTTCAGTCTGTTTTCTGGAGCTCTTTGTATTTCCTTCTCACGTTGCTCTTCGCTAGATATCTGCCTTTTTACTTATGTCTTTTCTTGTTCTCTAACGCGTCCCTCTCGACATATTCTGCCTATTTTAGCGTCCTTTCTAACTTTCTTGCGCGTTTTTGTCGACTCGCTTTATGCCTTTTACTTCTTGCTTTCTTTGGTCGCTCTGTCTCTTTCTTTCTGGCCTATTTTCACTCAAAGCCCCTTCTTCACGAACTTGAATTATAACAATTTCCTCCGGTTGACAAAACTTTAGCTCTGCCGGTATTGCTGCTTTGCGAGTTGATTAAAAATTGCAAAATACTGAGAATTACTGTTCAACTACAACCTCACCAGTTTGATTGCCCGCTCACAACGCGTGTTGCAGATTATTTGCCTACGCAGCTTCACATCTACTAGCTCACGCGAAGCCCTCGTGTAATGCCTAACCATGTGCCAGCGGTACGCTGCACTAAAGCTCGGCACTTGAGTATGCGCACTACATCGTGATCTGCCAGTGTCTCCTGGCACTAATAGGGTATCCTGGTTACGCATGCAATCGGACCTGCGCATTACCTTCTCCTTCGCCCTTCCATTACTTAATGGCTAAGAACGTGCCTGCGATACACTCGGCCGCGCATGCTAAAAGTAGCATCTTGTACGGTCGGTCGTACGATCATAAGTCCAAATTTTTTTGCCTTGATGGGCTACTACTATTTTGTATAATTATGGGGCTAAGCTGCGCGCGCTGTGAGCTCCGCTTTTAAAGGGAATTACTTTTTTAAACTACTAATTGATGACAACAATATAGCGCTAATTGAAAGGAGAATCATTAAGAATTTATAAAGTCCTTAAGAAGTTCACGTTTAAGACTATACTTAAAAACCGGCATCGAATTAATAGTTTTAGGAGAACCACGCTGCGAGTAAACTATTCTGTAATAAGAGGTCCTCTGTCCGCTAGCTGACTTGAAAAGTGGATTGTTCAGCTTTTGTGAATTCCTGGTGGTACGCCCGCTTATTTCTTTTCGCGTGATGAACTGAGATGACAGATACTCTGGCACACGGCCTGTTAGGCACTTAAAGACCATGATAACTGTTCGTAAATAAAGTTGAGTTGCTACTGGGAACCAGTTAAGCTCTTTTAAGAGTGGCAAAATTTTTTCGTATATACGCGTGCCAGTCATAATACGAGCGGCGAAATTCTGAATGGCTTCTAATTTATTTATGTTACGTTTAGATGTATTGGCCCATATGTTTGAAAAATAAAAGAGCTAACTAAAAACTAAAGCGTTAATGATGGTCAAGAGCGTACGTTTACCGCTTTTAGCGACTCCATCGCCGACACCGTCCAAAAGGTTACGAGCTATCTTGCGCGTGACCAAAGGGGCAGTCCAGAAAGGGCAAGATGGGCCTGTCTTGCCTGCCCCGGTAGCCAAACAAAACACAAGATTCGCTTCAACTTGCCCAAGGACACTACTCACGACATATTAATCTGCATAAAAGGATACGATAATTCATGCAAAACAATTCAGTTTCAGAAAGATGTGTTTGGTTTGTTGAAAGGGGGGTACAATTTCGAGCATTTTCCAAGCTTACTTTCTTTCTTCTGCTGTCGCTATCCACCATCTTACCATGAATGATAGCCACCGGCACAATCAGCTCAGCAGTGAAGCGTCCATCGTCCTTTCACTGTGGCTCTCTATTTCTGGTTTTGCAACTGTCACTGGAAATATAGTTGTGTTGTGGCTGTTCTACAAAAATGAGTCTTTACGAAGAATTTCCAACCGTTTTTTAGCCTCTTTATCCGTAGCAGACCTTTTAGTTGGGCTTGTGATAGCTCCTACCTGGATCATTTTCATCCGGTGGTTTACATTTCACAGCGTCTTTTCAGAATGGTTGTGGGTTCACACAACCACCGCAACCACTTATAACATTTGCTGTATTTCTGTCGACCGTTTCATTGCGATTTGGTTTCCTTTCCGTTATGAGGAAATTGTAACAAAGACAAGATGTTACACAGTGATAATTTTAGTGTGGTTGTTTTCACTGGGTCTTCCTTTCTCGACGTTGCCAGTGAGAGACAAGGAAAATTTCAATATTGTGATGTTATGGATTTCCCTGGCATTCATAACATTTGTTATTCCATTACTTGTGGTCTCATGTTTCTATATTTTAATTTTCAAATCAGCAAAAAAACAGTTTTATAGAATACTAGCAGGAGAAAGTCTTATAACATATAACGACAATTTTAGAGTTCGTAGTATGAAAAATTTTAAATCTATTAAAACCATCGGTTTTGTCTTGGGTGCTTGTATTATCACATGGATGCCCAGTCTCGTTTATATGTTTGTTGATTTTTATTATACCGTGATAAATGACTGGGATAAAAGTTGGAGATTATATTATGTTGTGTGGCCTTGGGTTGAGGTATTCGCTTTTACTTCATCAGCGATCGATCCATTTTTATATTGCTTTCGAAATAAAGAGTTCCGCCAAGCCTTTCGCCGAACCTTTCGTTGGTTACCCTGCAGACACAGCACAAGAAACACCTGGCTGAAATCAGGTGGAAACCTGATGGTACGAAATGGTTTTAAAAGATCTAGAGATAGAGCGGTTAGGGAGACAAAGCTCTGAGGATATCTTAAAGGAAACAGGACTCTGCCATTGATAGATGATGTTGAAGTGAGCTGCCACCTCAGTTTTTGAATTTCTTATTAAAATAGCGATCTGAAATCTAATAAAAAAATCCTCTTTGCAACAATGCTTAGCTTGGCTGTCTCTCAGTAAATCGTATCACTTGTTATCTTTAAGAAACTTCTCAACTTTTATTGCATGAGAGTGTTTTTCATATATCTTGAAAAACAATTAATGTTTTGTGACAGGCATTTGACTGGGGCAAAATTACGTCTGGAAAGACCTGTCTGATATGACAAAATAAGCAATTTTTCTTATATTTTAATTACCTTCTACTAAGAAAGAGAGTTAGGTGAGATAAGCTTAAAAATTATTGCTTCCGATGGTCATCAATTGTTTATCCAACATCTGATAACAATTCAAAAAGGATTTATAACAAGGCCAACCAAAACGTCCGCCACGGATGACGAGGCTAAAAACCGGTTGGAAATAGTTCTTAAAGACCCGTTTTTGTAGAACAGCCACAAAACTAGAGTTCATAGCAATTTGTTTATGATTACAATAATACTGTGGATTCATACAACCGCGGCCACTACTTTTAACTCGTCCTGTGTTTCAATTGACCGTTTCATTGCGTTTCGCTTTCCTTTCCGGTATCAGGACATTTTAAGTAAGAGGAGATGCTTTGCGGTCATAATTTTCGTGTAGTTTATCTCATTTTCCAATAATGTTCCCACGCGTAAGAAAGGATCTAAGCGATTTCGCTATTTACTTTGCAAGTAGAGCGTTTGTCTTTCAATTATTAGAGGCCTCTTTTTGCTATATATACATTTTCAAATCAGCTAAAAAACAATTCAGGAGAATTTCAGCAACCAAAATACTTCCTAACTCCCGCGAATATTTTAAAGTTTTAAGCATGCAAAATTTGAAAGCCATCTAAACAGTCGGTTTTAGTTTAGGTGCTTGCATCATTGTATG